GCATAACTGGAGTCCAGGCCCCTGTTCCTGCTGGGTGACAATAATGCCCTGTAAAGAGGGGCCCTGACTCTGCACCTCTGTAATCATGAGAGGACTACACAGCAGGACAGGGGCATGGGGAAAGGCTGAGAAGTCACCATTCAGCTCCCACCACAGGCAGTATATCCCCTAAAGCTTGTGTTCCCAGGACCACCATAGCAACTGGCAACATCAGTTAGGTGGGGCTCTCTCAGTCAGTGGAGGGAACAGGGTATCTCCACAGGTGATGCCATGCTCCCATGCACTGAGCAAGGATTACAAGGCACAGCTTGAGATCCTGACCCTCTCCTCCTTCCTTTTTGCACTTTGCCCTCTTGAAATTCAGTCTTCTCCTAAAGCAGCCACTTGGTTGAGCTGAGCACTACTTTTCCCAAAACAGCCAAGGAGAAGGCAGAGAGGACCATCAACCCATTACGGGCCGATTCAGTGACTGGAGAGCACTTGCTCTCAAAATGGAAGACTACCTCTCAGCTCCCCTTCCTCAGCGTGATCATAATCCAGGTTTTCCTCCACCCACCTACCTATATCCTCAGGCTTTTTCTCTTCCTGTTCCAGATCTGCTTTCCTGTCTGAGCCCAGCTCTGCTTTTGCCACCCCCAGTCCTGGTGGTTAGAGAATACAAATCATAATGAAACTGTGGGTTTGAATGCCTTCAGGCTGAAAAGAACTTTGGATCCAGGTGCTTCCCAATGCTGAGCAAGACTGCCAGCCACTATGCTTATTCCCAACGGCAAGCAGCAGTGCCACCGAAAAGGGTCACATTCTTATGACAGCAGATACAGTGCTTTGTGGTGAACTCAGAGATATGCATACAGGCAAAACCAGGCTGGAAACTGGTGGACTTCAGGTTTCTTCATACTAGTTTAGCTTTTGAGGGAGTTTACATGTGCCTGATTTCTCAGTGCATTCCCTTCATTTCCTGCATGCCTAGGGAACTAGGGAATACAGGTACTTTGGATTTAGGCTGTGCTGTGAGATGGTATTTTGGATTGCTTTCTGGAGGTAAGGCATCTACATTTCACCAAAACCCAGCTTAAAGCACTCTGACTCTCACTGAAAGTTGCTAGTAAAACAGATACCCAAAGAGCTTTATGTCACAACAGCAATAAAGTGCCTTGGGTTTTTTGGATAGGAATTAGACATGGCATTAAATGAATTTTAAATAAACCCAAGCAAAACATAGAGACACAAGTACTGTCACTCTTCCAGTGTGCTTCACATGATGTGTTTCATGCCTGGTTCTAAGCTTTGAAGCTTAGATGTTAAAGACAAAGGTATATAAACTGCCCCAAAAGAGTGCAGGAAACCCCTGGTGGTTCATATTACAACTAATTTAGCCCTGGTATAATTCTGCTGCTTTCAATCCCAGGAGTTTATTTTGCTTGCTGTGTGTTTACAAGCTGAGAAAAGACTCAGGAAAGAATAGGAAAAGCACCTTTCCATGTGACAGCATCTACGTTAAAGCCTAGGCATATGCACAAAATCTGTGGGATAGCGTACTGTAGCCCAGGGAACTATACCTTTCAAGGGACTGCCCAAGATTAAAGCTCAAAACATACTATGTGACCTTGGGAAAAGCACTTCGTCTTTCTCTGATTAGGTCTATCAAATAAATTAAACCCTACTAGGGCATGTTCCAGGGCATTGGAATTCAACCCTCTATAAACTGTTGACATAATCCTTGGCATCAGTTTCATTAAAGCCAACTGGCAGTGTCCCAGACAATTCCCCACAGAGCTCAGGAGTCAGCACAACCCACCACCATCCCCAGAAGCCATGTAGAAGGCAATCAATCACTCTGCTTTGGAGGGATTGCAGGGAGCACAGGCTGCTCCACGCCAGTCAGCCTCAGTGCTCAACAGTGAGCCTGGGTGTGTTTTGGTGACCAGTACAAACACAAGTGATGCACCTCAAACGGGGATAATGTATCACTTCCTTTATCAAATGCTTTGTGACTTAGCATGTGACTACTGTTACAATCCTTGCAGACACGTAACTGGACTACCCATGAGATTATTTGAAAGCACCTGTATGTAAAGGTGTCTTTCCCTTCTCAGAGCACTATATAGGGAACAGCTGCCAGAAAACACATCCTGTAGGAAGCTCATGCTCACTCCTACAGGTGTTGACTGCCTGAAGAAAAAAAAACCTAAAGGTAGCAGCATGGTCACCTACGGGGGCAACATTTCCTGCTCTTTGGAAGTGCAGATGTTTATGCATTACCTCTCTCCCTGTGAGAGAGCAGGATGGCCTTGTCCTTCTCCAGAGATCCTTGGCATTCTCTGGCACACTATCCTACAGTCTTGCCATGGCCATAGGAGCTTGTGTGATAGATGCTAACAAGCCACCTGTGCTTGTGTGATGGATGCAGTTTCAGCACTGGAATAGATTTGAGCCAAACATCCTCCTTTCCAAAAAGGGTTCAGGTGGAGAGCAGTTAGTGATGCTGCAAACCTTCTCTAGAGGCCAGCAAGCAATAACATGGAATTAAAGCAAGAGGAATTGAAAGAAGGCAGATGTGGAGAGAAAGCACCCTCCTCCTAGAGCCACTGCATCCCCTCACCCTTGCTCAGTATGCTGGAGCTCCTCATGCTGTTTGTGCCTTTCACTTGATAACATTTTGCTTACTGATCCTGCCAGACACACAGAAAATGGGAGTCTCCTCCAGCTGCTTTGAACTTCAGTGGGTTAGGAGCTGGGTTCAAAATGCAGGTCATAGTTCATCCATCATATTTCAGCTGTCAATAAAAGACAGCCACTGATGAAATGGGATGATGAAGGTTTGCAACAACTCATACTGGCATTAATTACCAGTCTCCACAGTCAAAAGCTAAATGGGCACATAAGTGGTTGACATTTCTAAGCCTCTACTGTTTGCTCATCCTAAAGCAACAGACTCCATCACTAGCCCACACTCCTCCTGCCAAACAGAATAGAATCAGTTATTCTTGACTTAAATTTGTACAACTTTACAGGTATGTAGTCCTTTTAGTAAAAAATGTGTATGTGTATCTGCTTACCAATGTAGCATAACATGCTATACAGTATGATTCATCCAGGGGAAATACTATTTTGGAAATGGGGTATTGTTAGATGTCTGTACACAACCTCCCTCAAAGCTATTAGCCCACACCTCTATCAGGCCTTGTGTGCAGGTGCATCAGCCCACAGATGGAGCTGTTTAGTATGTAATGCTTTCTATGCACAAACACAACAGAAAAATGGAACTGGTGATACTTACCATAACAGTTCATTTTCTAAGATTTTAGAAGAAAAAGGTTTCTGACAAAGGGAGGCACTCAGCCATGTCTTCACCCAGGGAAGAGTTGCCTAAGCATTCACCAGCCCATCTTACAGAGGGGACGGGACTGAGAGGCTTTCGTCCTTGAAATAATGCCCTTTTCATAGATGTTCCTGTGGTTTTCATCATCCCCTGCTCTCTCATCTCACCTCTGAATGAAGGAATAAGCATACATTTGCACACTTGGAAGGACCAACTTCCAAGGAAACATTACTGCTGCAGAGAAGACAGAACTGTTCAGCTGCTAGAGAACTGCTGGGCTCGCTGTAGCAGAACTTACTTCATTATCACACCTCTCTCACTTCAGATGGCAATACAGAAGTAATCACCCTACACATACCTAACTTTGTAAAATTGAAGATGTTTCATTTCTCTCAGTAATTATTGAATTAGATGGACTAAAAGCTACAAGGCCACGTTTTTTTTAAAGTGTTCTTTTGGCCAAGTGCCACTGCAGACTATCATGAACTGTCGAATTCCAACACCCTCCTCTCCTCGCTATTCCCAAAGCTGCAAGTTTCTCCAGCATTTACAAACAGCTACAGTTTTCTGAAAGGCAGAAACACCCTCAAATTTAGCCACATGTTCAGCATCATCTGTCTCAGGTGTACGCCAAACATAGCCTCTCCAACCTCTCAAATGGAACTGCTTTTGACTGACAGAGGTTGAATCTACATCCCTGACTCAGCTCTTTCCACAGCCAAACCACTGCACAGTACATGAAATACATAGCCAGATGGCACTAGCTCACTCCTGCAGTTGATGGTACTTGCCCTTCAGATTTCCCAAACAAGAGTAACCTCTGCTTCACATTATTCAAGGTCTCTTTTGTTCTGCTTTTAATCCTGTTTCCAGCCACTGGCTTATTTGACTCCTGAATTGCTGTCAGCAAGAATGATGCCACTTGGTACCATTCACAAGAGATCCAGCACCTGCAGGCTCAAGCTATGAGTCAAGAAAGACAATTATGGGAAAGCAATTATGTGCAAAGCAGGAAAAGCAAGTGGCAGTATGTTAAAGGGTTTTATCTAGACAGAAGTCAGTGAGGTGAGAGCAACTGAGTTGTTACGTAGATAGGAGAGAATGTAGGTGTATAGCCTAAAACCAGCTTTTATGCTAAAACAAACAAATCATGTGAAACAGAAAAGTGGGCGTTTTTTGGTGTCCTCCCCCCCCCCCCCAAAGGAGACACTTGAGCCAAGTCACATTATTTGCATGAAGCATGCAAATCAAATTATGACACTTTTCTTTTAATGCACATAGTACTTCTACCAGCTGTGGAAGAGGATGCCCGGGCATAACTGGCCCAGCTGCCGCCGAGGGGAGGCCGGAAGGGCAGTTCCCAAGTGCTTCTCCCCTTCGGGAATGACATCGGCAATGCACCATGGCCAGCCTGGCGTGGCCGCCTCAGAGGGTGCTGCTTCTTACTACCCCGGGTGAGAAGGAAGGCAAAGGAGGAAAATAGCCTGCTGAAGGCAAAGCATAAATACAAACGGATCCACAGCTTCCAGCTCCAGCGGAACTGTGTGGACCGCTCTGCCCTGGGAAACCGAGGACCAAATCAGCCGCTGACACACGCCAAAAAGGCAGCACAAGGCCAGGCGTGGCTTGGCTCCGTGCGGGTGCTCAGGAGCTCCCCACCCAGGCGAAGCCATTCCTTATGACCTCTCAGACTTCAGCTCCAGGGAGACGGCAAAGAGCTCGGGAGCCGGCTGTAAGGCGCTGGGGTTTGGAGGCTGAGAAAGGGCCCGTGACCGCGGCCCGCACCGTGGCCGCTGGCCGCCATCTTCGCCGCTCCGCCCGCTGCGTGTCCCCACGGCCGCACCCTCTCTCCCCTGCGCCCCCCGGTGATTTCTTTGCCCGGGTAACTCCAGGCTGGGACGTGAGGTCCAGCGAGCGACCCGTTCCGCGGTGTTACATCCGCCTCCCCTTCGCCTTTCACCCCAAGCGCACCCCGCGCTCCGTTGCGGCGGGGGCTGGCGGCGGCGCAACGCCGCCATCTCGCGGCTGGGAGTGCGGAGCCGCACCGCCGGCGGCAAAATGGCGCCCGCGGCAGCTCGGACCGACGGTCACAGCAAAGACCGTGTGTGAGGGAGGCTGGGGGAATGGACCGGGAACGAAGGAGTGATGAAACCTTTAAACATAGAAATTAGCATCTTCCTGGAAAAATTAGTAAAAGGCTTGGGAAAAAAAACAACAAAACAACAAAACAAAAAACCACAAACCAAACCCCAAGGATATGGGGAATTTTCAAAACTATGAAGGCAAATCTCCATCTGATGGGAAGGACTTTCTTGCTCTCTGCTGGTTTCATAACAGCCAGATGCATTCCAGTGTTCCTTCCGAGTTTGCAGATGGCAGGGTTTAGGGAGAGGGCTGCTCCACACCCCATTTCCCTGCCAAACTTAATTTCTTTGAAATCTCTCATACTGCTTGTCTGCCTCAGGCTGAATTTCAGCTTTAAATCTTCCTAAAAATAGTTCATACAGAACCAGAACTAGGTAGTGTGAAACAGTTGTTGCCCATGTTCAGCTCACATACAGTCATTCTGTACCATCACAACACGCAAGTTAGCATGAGCTAGAGTGCTTCTGTGCACGGAGGCATGAATTTGGCAAGAGCCAGCGATGTAACTTTAGCCCAAACTATTAAAACATTAAAAGCTGTGGAAAATGTTCTTCCCAGTGGGGACGTTTTAGAATTTGGCAGCTAAAATCCTTGAAGACGCATTGAATTCCAGTGTAGGCTCACCATGGATAAAGGAGACCCTCCCTGCCCTTGCTGCATGTGGCTGCTGCAGGCTGCCTGCTGTGATGTCGGGTGCCTCAAATCACGATGTGATTTACGTGCTTAATTGCCCGCAGTGATGGCTCACAGAGAGCTCAGTGCCATCAGCTCAGGGTCCGCTACACTCTCTGCTCACGCAGAGGTGGGGATCCTGATGTTTCAGCCCTGCTCACAACTTACAGAGGTGTAGGTATGGGGCCATGTGGTGCATTTGGCTTCCATTTGTTCTCTGAAAACCCGAGCAGTTAAACATTCACAAAAGTTAACGTTAAGGTCACATAGCCACATAAACCACCCCAGAATGCAGAGGTTGACTGTGCAACCATTATTCCATCCTTTGTGCATGTGCATTAAGGTGTGCTTGCTTCTGTTGGATGGAGTTCGTGTCTGCGGTACCCCGGCCAGGTAAAGATCGGTGCCGTAACAGTCCAAGTGGAACAAGTAGCAGAGCCGAGGAACCATACAGTTCAGTATTGTTCAGTGACTGAGCAGCAGGAGCTCCACCTGCAGCCCGTCCACAGTCCTGCCTCTTGATAGCTTCACATGCCGCTTCATGTCACCGGTTTGGGAGGCTCTTACTCTTTATGTGCATGATCAGGACAGGTAATTTTGCAGTCTGTGAGATGTCAGATGTTTGCAAACCCAAGGCGGGCACTGAGAACCCAGCATTTTCTGATGATTCAAAGAAATGCATATCCAAAATAAAGGAGATGACTGAAATTCATTAAAAAAAAAAAAAAAAGCGCCTTTATTTTCAGTTTGCAATGAGCTTTGCTACTGAGACCTCTGTGACTTGTCTCCCAGGACATTTGACTTCTATCAGGGAAGCTTTCACCCTCCGCACGCACACAGCAGTACAGCCTTAGAAATGTGGGCTGATGCAGCCCGCTTCTTTCCCACCACGAAATCAATGAGCCTGCAGCAGGGATTTCCCTTTCCCGGAGCCGCAGCAGCTCTTTCCCTGCGCTGTCGGAGACCACCACCTGCTGGGGGCTCGGCTGCGTGCTGCCAGCGCTGCTGCTGCAGCCGCATGGCCTCCCCTCAGCCTCGCTCTGTTCAGGCTCATGGCATTTGTACCCGCATCACACAACTGCCGTCTGTCTGCACAGCAAGCAGTTCTCTGGAGCTAACAAATACACTGTTTGAGCTGACAGCGCACTGCTTTCCTACACCCAGTCATGCTCTGCTGTCTCCATCAAGATGCAAGAAGAGACAGTTGCTGTTACATCTCCTTTTCCTTACTCCTTAAGCCATTAATTTGGAGGATTTTTGTCAATATCAGAATTTTTCTCTCCCATTTTTGTAATGTGCATTTAGTTGTGGTTTTGGTTCAGGTGTTTTGTTTGCTTGTATGTTAGTTTTTAATATTTCTTCTACAGTTTTGGAGCTCACTCAAGATGTATGGGTATTGGACAGCATTGCTATAGCTCCAGCAGGGAAGCAGAGTATCTGGAGGGTCACAAAAATCACACCTTTGGATTGCTTTGTTTTCTTTCAGTGAGGAGGGAATGCTGAGGCAATGAAAATGAGCTGTGCTTTGTCACTGGAAATCTTACAGGTTTGGCAAATGACTAGGCTGTGTTTTTTGGGGGGAGACTGCCTTGTATAGATGGATAAAAATAAAAGAATTTTCAATTTTGTGAAGTTAGAGATGGACAAACTGAAAATTATAGCAGAGCTCTGGAAAACCTCTAGAATTGGTTCTCTGTGAGGGCCAGGAGGGTGGAGAGGAGGCACAGTAGATTGTGGAAACATTGCTTGCATAGGTTTAGCTTCTGGGATTGATTTTTCCCATGAACACGGGAGCAATTTCAAGCCCCGAAACCCAAGTCTTTAGTGAGCTGCAGGTTTTCCTTTATGTATAGCTGTGGCGCACATAAAAACACTGAACAGATTAAGTTGGCCGTGGGAAGGTAGTCCAAGTATGCTTCATAGGGCATGTAATGAAGACCTTAATAATCCTATATCTAGAACAAACTAACAACCAGAAAATGCTGTCAGTTGACCAGTTTCCTTTCAGACATATTTACATACTCATCTGCCTGGATTTGTGTAAAGCGTTCAACACTGTCCCACACGACATTCTTGTCTCTAAATTGGAGAGACATCAATTTGATGGATGGACCACTCGGTGGATAAAGAACTGGCTGGATGGCTGCACGCAAAGAGTTGTGGTCAATGGCTCAATATCCGGCTGGAGACCAGTAACGAGTGGTGTCCCTCAGGGATCGGTGTTGGGACCGGTCTTGTTCAACATCTTTGTCGCTGACATGGACAGTGGGATTGAGTGCGCCCTCAGCAAGTTTGCCGATGACACCAAGCTGTGTGGTTCGGTTGATACGCTGGAGGGAAGGAATGCCATCCAGAGGGACCTTGACACGCTTGTGAGGTGGGCTGATGCCAACCTCATGAAGTTTAACCATGCCAAGTGCAAGGTCCTACAGCTGGGTCGGAGCAATCCCAGGCACAGCTACAGGCTGGGCAGAGAAGAGATTCAGAGCAGCCCTGCGGAGAAGGACTTGGGGGTGCTGGTCGATGAGAAAATGAACATGAGCCAGCAGTGTGCACTTGCAGCCTAGAAAGCCAACCGTATCCTGGGCTGCATCAAAAGGAGCGTGACCAGCAGGTCGAAGGAGGTGATCCTGCCCCTTTATTCTGCTCTCATGAGACCTCACCTGGAGTATTGTCTGCAGTTCTGGTGTCCTCAACATAAAAAGGACATGGATCTGTTGGAACAAGTCCAGAGGAGGGCCACGAGAATGATCAGGGGACTGGAGCACCTCCCATATGAAGACAGGCTGAGAAAGTTGGGCTGTTCAGCCTGGAGAAGAGAAGGCTGCGTGGAGACCTCATAGCAGCCTTCCAGTATCTGAAGGGGGCCTATAGGGATGCTGGGGATGGACTCTTCATTAGGGACTGTAGTGGTAGGACAAGGGGTAATGGGTTAAAACTTAAACAGGGGAAGCTTAGATTGGATATAAGGAGGAAATTCTTTCCTGTTAGGGTGGTGAGGCACTGGAATGGGTTGTTCAGGGAGGTTGTGAATGCTTTATCCCTGGCAGTGTTCAAGGCCAGGTTGGATGAGGCCTTGGGTGATATGGTTTAGTGTGAGGTGTCCCTGCCCATGGCAGGGGGTTTGGAATTTGATGATCTTAAGGTCCTTTCCAACCCTAACTATTCTATGATTCTATGTTAACATGCAGTTCCCATGACAAATTACTAACAGTGTAGAGAGAGCTCCTTAGAGTTCCCATCTTCCCTATTCAGTATCACAAGAAATGTCTTTGGGAGTGTCTGGTGGGAGAACATTTCCACTGTAGCCTGAGACTGGGTAGACCACAAGGCTTCCAGCAGAAACTGCTGCTCCAGGAGGTCTCACAGATCAGCTTTCTAAGCAGAGCAAGTCTTTCTGCATAACTTCTGTTTGCAGCAGCGCTCATGTTTCTCACTGAAAGGAATCAGTTTGAACCAGCTTGGTGCTGATGCTGTCTCGGACCCACAGGATGTAATTTCTGGTCAGATGTAGCCTTTCCTGCATGCCAGCACATTTAGTGGTGGCTTTCTGCATTTCTGAGACCCATAGGTTATAATTTCTAGTAAAATAAACTATTTCTTACTTTTTTTTGCAGCATGAATCAGTAAATGACTGGAACTCCAATGTCAGGCATTGCTGTACAATGCCTAGAAGCCTCAGCAGTGGGGAACTTCCACCTGCAGGACTCATGTCACGTTCACTTTCTGTTCTCACCTTTGGCTCGCGTAAATGTAGCACCTCTGGGGTAGGAGCTGACTTTTGCCTTGTGTTCATCCCACACCCATAGCAAAGGGATCTCACTGCCCAGCCTTAAACAAAAGGGCTTTGGGTTCATTAACATATATATAATAGCCCCATGGGAACCCTCAAGCCTGACTGGGGTGAGAGGTACCACATTACCAAACAGCCTGCAGGCTGTGTGATGGGTAGTTTATTGGCACAAAATTACAGGGTGAGCGGGGCTGATCTGAGCTGCTGCATATCCAGCCAGGAGGTCTGTGGTGTTCTTCCCGAATTTTCTGTTTTGCTGGTTTGGCAGGGGTCAGCTTTTTTGACAAAGTTACAACCTCAGTTTACAGATTAACCCAAAATAAGGTCAAAGCAGACCAGAAAATATAATTGAAAATAAATGTTGGCATCTCTTGATGTTTAAGTAAAAGCAAGACATTGAATTCTGCCTCACTTCCCACCAGGACAGCTAGCAAGAATACAAAGAGTACATAGCTTGGATTGGGGTTATGTGAGCATTGATAGGAGCCAGGTACTGCGCAGTATTCAGTGTGTATCACAGTGGGGTGGAAGCAAGCCTCCAGCTGGACCTTAATGTAAGTTAGAAGTAGTTACATTCCATCTCCACCATAAGTGAGAAACAAGCTATGGAAACAGTAAGATTGAATTGTGTCATTTTTTAGCACTGTATGCTCCTAGTGCTTTGAAATTTGTACTACTGTCTTTGGAATTAGCACCCAGGTATTTCACACGCTGCACTAACTATGCATTTGTTAACTTCTCAGATGTCACGAGAGTGGCCTATTCTCACTCTCCTTTTCTTTATCTTTGACAGCCCAAAGTACAGCCAAGACAAACACTTCGCTCCAGATGTAAGCTGCCCTGATTATAACTCCTGCACACTGTTAATGGGCTTCAGTAAGCTTGGAAACCAGCATAAACCACAGACTTCTCTGAACTTTCTAACTTTGCATTTTTACAGTGTGTTATGCTTCTGGCAGGAAATCTGGATAAGCTGCCAAATTTGTAGAAAATTCAATATCCCACTATAAAAAGGAGTTTATCGTTTGCATGTATATCTAAGTGCACCTTCCTGTTGCTAAGTTAACATGATGAAAAGAATCCCCCATCTGAGACTCAACTATCCAGCTGCACAGTTTAGTGAAATGACTTTCAATAAACAGTGCAAGCATGAGGGAGCCATTCCTGTCAGGACTGCAGATCCAGAGTATCCCCCAGGATGTTCTGAAGGACCTCAGCATGTCCTGTCTAGAACTGAACTTCTGTTTAGTTTATCCCTTTAAATAGTCACAGGACCATTATTAAAACTAGGATAGGACATGTAATTTGCTTTCACAGTATGAACCAGGAAGATACAAGCCTGATCTTAACAAAGCCAGATCCTTAGTAGTTCTTATATCACAACCATAGCAATAACTAAAGGACAAACATCAGATTTCTTTTTTGTCTCCCCAAATACGTGTTTTGATTTGAAGAAGCATAACATTTGCATGTGCATTTTTAAACCATACATGTGGCTCAGTTTCACAGAACAATGCAGCTTCTTATACTAGGTAATGTATTTATGTTACAGTACGACTAGAACTATAGGGTTATTAAAGATTAGCTTTACAAATATGCTGTCCTCATTCGTATCCCATGACGATATGCTAAACAATCTCCATTATGTAGTTTACATACATGCCAAACTACTGTTTAAGTATACTCTATAGTTAAATGATCTTACTATTCCATGAGCAGGACCTGTGTGATCTTCCTTACATTAAAAGAAACCATTTTATACCTATTTCACTTTTATATCCAAACAAATTTGCACATTTGCAGAAACTAAAATAAGTTTTAGTGAGCCTTCTCACAAGTATTCTTGATTTCTGTTTGTTAGCCAGAAAGCCTTTATCTGAAGTGTCTTGCTAAGGAGACTTGATGCCACATGCTCCAGGAGGTTCACTCACATGTGTGTGAAGCACACACTTCTACAAAGCTGCCATATCTCGCTGCACAGGCTTTGTGGCTGCCCCAGCTATGGGTGGTTTTAGCCTGGGTGACTTCAAGAGTTCCCACCAACTGTTCAGTGTCTCAGGCCTTGCTGAAGCACGTCTGACTGAAGACCAGATCCACGATGGCTGTTACCTGTGGCTGCATGATGGTTGTGTCACCTACCATCCTGTAGCCTGCACGCTGCTTACAAGGGGTCACAATGACAGCACATTTGGTTCTGTCACAGTCCCTTTTTATGTGTCTCAGGCTCCCCATAGAGCATGGCACATTGAGCAATCAGCTGAGCAAATTAGGCCCAGGAGCGCAGTAGCACATAGTTCAGATAAAGACAGCAAGCTGCTGGGAAAGCTGTGTGTGTGACCTTACACAGCACTTGGCTTTTCATGGCTGGCTGAGAGCAGCGATACTCCCACAAGGACAGCTGTGCGCTCACTTCTGGGGGGGTGGTGCCAGGCCACCGGAATCCTGCCGCTGGAACTAATGAACTCACTCAGGAACCTCTGAGTTACGTTGAACATCTTGCAAAATGCGTTAATTCCCAGACGCACTGGTAGGGATGTCCAGCTGGTCTGGATACACACGACTTCACAGTACACAGACTACACAGCCAAAGGTTAATAAAGCTAAGGTACAAACTTGGAAATACATTCATTCTTGGAATAGTTCACCAAATGATGTAATTTTGCACCAAATAAGCAGCAGAGGTTCTGTTGTGTCTGACGTAAAGCCTGTGCTTGAGGAAAGGAAGAATCTTTACATGCTGTAAGGATACTAGAGACATGCAAACTGGGGGGCATTGCTACCTCATGGTTAATCTGCCGAGACAACAAAGTGATGCAGAGAACACCCCTCTCCAGCACAGACTCAGACTCAGCTAAAACACTTGCCTTAGCGGTCTTTGCTAAATTCCCTAAATGCTGGCTGTAAGAGTGATCAGTAAATACAGAGTGTGGAAGTCGACCGTGTGCATTTAGTCTACTGCGTGCTTGTAGAACTGAATCTCTTAGTACCTAGAAAAAGCCCTTTGTGGCAATCCAGTCCATTTCCTTGGCACAAAACAAGCACTAATGCTTGTGCAAAAGAGCATGTACATAGTTTATAGCTCTGTTCTGCTCCAAGCAAGCAAAAAGCACTCTGCAAACACAGGATGCAATTAAAGCCAAAGGGAATTTTGATGTTGGCGTTGACGAATACAAAAGCAGACCCTTTCCATCAAAGATTCGCTCCATTGTCGACAGGAGGCTTCCAGGCCCTCCTGCTGCCCCCTGCGGGTAAATTCGTATGTATGGTTTAACCTCAGCCTAAGCCAAAGGCTTTAACTAAAGAGTTTTACCTTTATTTCCCAGTATAGCTGCTTCCTTAGGTACTTTGCCAGTAGCTTCTTTGGGGTTTAATATACCGTCTTCAGCTTCATGCTGGCAGGACTCCTCAGTTCTCTCTCAAACTTCATCAACAGAGAGGTCTGTATATTTTAAAACCTTGCAGTGCTCAAAGTAGGTGAAAAAGTGAATAGTAGGAGGTGGTCTTGTATGTAATGCTATCTCTACACAATCATGTTTGTCTTTTCAGAGGGGACCTGCAGTAGCTGTTACAATTCACACAAAGAAGGAATTCTTTCTTTCCTGCTCTGGCTACACCAGAAAATGAATCTAGGGTGGCTGGTTGAATAAAAGGTGGAGACATAGGGAGAACCATGAGTGAAGTGGGAGAGAAGCTCACAGCATTTAGTGTGCTCAAACTGAGAGAAGAAATAGAATTATCCGCATCAGGAGTTTTGAAGAATTGGTGTATAAAGCTGCTGTTCCAGGAACAGAGACTTTAAAAATTAGGAGTGCTCCAGTCTGACAGCAGAACAGTAAGCACTGTACCCATGCTTATTAAAAAGGCAAAGATTATCTTGACAGCAAAGACTTATCAGTTGTTCTACAACCGTGGGCAATCTTCAGAACAAATTTTGAAGGAAAGAATAATTAAGACCTGAAGGTAAGTAGAAAAAGATGTAGATAAAATGATTAGGGTGAACTTAGCTGGTGTCTCTTGTTGATTTTCCAGGCATAACTCATTTACCTGGATGCTAAACTGTCAAGTAACTTGCTAAGCCATATTGATTTGATCACTTGTGATAATACTTGTCTTGGACTGGACAAGACACCCTTAGAACTGGGTATCAGAGTGAGGAGCCAGCACAGGTCAACTTGGGCAAAGAATTACTGAGTGGGATGAAAGTTAATATCAGAATTTCTCAAGGTGTTGGGTCTGATCCTCGTCAAGATTTTCATTTCTTGCAGGGCAGATGCTAAGGAAGTTTTGAGGTACTGTCAGCATGGAAAAGAGATGGAATATTAAAAGCATTGCATGGTACTGGTAATCAAAGCAATGAAAATGAGGTGGCATTTGCTAGGGCAGAATACAAGTCATGTATGAGGGTAGGAGCTATTTGGATGTTAAATGTCAAAACCAAACAGTTATTAAGGCGTCTTTGTCAGTGATACAGAAAGAAAAGCACTTCTGGAAGTTCAGTCTTAGCACCTGAGACAATGATCTGGAGTGAATCACCTGTAGAAGATGTCTCTCGTGCACTTGAAAGGTAGCTGCGAAACCTGCCGTTCAGTCAGCTAAAGCTACAGCACATCAGTGACACCTTAGGAAGGGTATCTGCTCCTAAAAGGCCACCCATAGCTCTGCGTGCTGCAGCAAGGAAGGAATGAGGATAATAGTTGATTGTATCATGACTGTGATGGGAAGGTAATGACAAAGGCAAACTTTATGTATCTGAAGAGGTCTTTCTAAAGCAGAGTTTTGACCTGTTCCCAGGCAGGTATACCCAGAACTCATCTGTGTGCAGTTCTGTGCTCAAGGCAGATGAGCTCAAGACTGCACCATGACAGAGAAAGCTGCAGTTTTGTTAACAGTGCTTAAAGTAGGTGGGCTTGTTCAGCCTCACAGAGTAAAGGTTGAGATGGACTCTGCTGCCTTTTTAAATCCTTCAGAGCAAAGGAAGAGTTTTTAAAATTCTTAACATGGTGCTGGTAAAGGATCACAGTGGGGTTAAAAATAAATTTGAATTCAAAATACAAAGTTCTGTCACTATCAGAGCAGCTGCTATTGCCCAACAACCATTTCCAAAATGTTGCTTGGTATGTTTGCAATCCGAGTTTTTTCTGGTTTGTTTTTTCTCTGAATTAAATGTCACAGTGAGGAATCCTACAGAAACAAGAATGTTTCACTATGAGTAAGACCCTTATAATGAGATACTACTATGTCCTCTGTACTTCTGGTTCAAGCCTTAGTGCTGTACATTCACCAGCATGTTCTCAATATCAGCCTGTTAAAGAAGTTTTAACTGTAAAGCTTATTTTCCGATAACAGGTGAGTCTTGCTGAGCTGACGGAATACTTGCCAGTGGCTAACTCCAAGGAACTCCTGGGCACAAGAGGAACAATGTCAGGGGTGTTCTGGTGCTTGGGCTACATTAATAGCAGGGCAACAAGACATTAGAAATCCTTGGTAGGCAGTAAACTGGTATTTGTCTGTGACAACATAAATGGAAGGGTAAACTTCCAGTCCGTTTAGGTCGTCCTTTACCCCTACAGACAAGGAGATACCTCATAAATAAGCCTGTGTTGGAAGCTGAATGAGTGAATGATGCTTTTTGACTGGTTGCAAACATGCCAACTTGTAGCTGCCATTAGGAATCAGCTCCACATCATTACTAGCCTGGCTTCAGTGTGCAAGTGGTAATTCATATTGTGCTGGCTTTTTTTACAGCATCCTCAGATAGAAATTTGCAAGTGTAAATGAAGTGTAGGGAAGAAAAGAAGCATACTAAAAATCTGCTTTACAGAATTTCAACTGAGTTCTTTTCAAGAGCTTTAAAAGATCTTAATTTCAGTGGTACAGGTAGTGCTTAATGTTTGATTAAGATCTAACATACAGACATGTTAGAGTTGTGAATTCAAAGTGATTGCTACTTACTGGGAAGTGAGGACTGTGTCCTCCTGCCAGTATAGTCCAGTTGGTCCTTTCTCCTCGTACGGGGAAAGTCCAGGATTTGCAGAGATAAAGAAGATGGAGTCAGACTATTCTCAGTGGCACCCAGTGAAAGGACAAGAAGGAATGAGCATAAAGTGAAATACAGGAGTTTCCACTTAAAGGTAAGAAAGAAGGTTTTTAATGTAAAAATGGTTAAACACTGGCACAGATTGCCCAAGGAGGTTCTAGAGCCTCTGTACTTGGAGATACTCAAAACCCAACTGGACACAGTCCAGAGCATCCTGCCCTAGCTGACTCTGCTTGAGCAGGTTATTGGAAAAAATTTCCAGAGGTGCCTGCCAGCCTGGGTTGTTCTAGGACTCTGTGAAAGGTAGAGGAATTCCTCAGTGAGCAGGGATTTTCTGCAGAGACTGGTGAGACCAGTGTACATTTAACATCAGTTCCTTACTGTTGGTTAAGGAGAGTATATTGCTACCCTCAGTCATGTGGAATAGAAGCAAAAACCAGGGACAGAGCAATGGAGTTATGTGACATCCCTAAGCAGAAATTTATCTGCATCTGCTGAGGGATTATCTGCTGTCAGCTGGGGTGTTAGGTGGATACCCAAGAGACATTGTACTTACCAGCCCCCACACAGGGGCCAGATTGCATTGTGTGTGATAGGGCTGTTCCAAACTAACTCTGTGTGTCTCAGGGTCAGGAACAGAGTTTAGGAAAAGCAAGCAGTCCTTTCCATTTTATGCAGGGATTACCTCAGCATAAACCAGATAAAGCAGGTGGGTAGAAAATAGAGCAAGTACAGTTCGGGGACCTTCTTTCACTAAAGTTTATTTTGTTTCAGCCCCAAAACTACAGATTAACTTGGTCTCAGATGAATGAGTCTGCCCTGCGCAGGGAGCCTCCTCTGGCCTCTGACGGAAAAAACAATTGATTTTTTTCTGAAATTCTGATAGTTCATTGTTTTGCTACAACTAAAAGTTCTTGTTTGAGAGCCAGGCAGCTCTGAAAGGAAGGGCAAACTGGATGGGATGCAGCAGAACAAATAACTCAGTTCTCTGTTGTATTCCGATCACCCAGTTCCCCAAGGACCACACAGTGAAGCGTGTCTTGCCACCTGTAGGATGAAAGTCTGCAGGTTGGGTCACAGAATCATAGAACGGTTTGAGTTGGAAGGGACCTTAAAACTCATCTGGTTCCAATCCCCCCTGCCATGGGCAGGACACCTTCCACTAGACCAGGTTGCTCAAAGCCCCATCCGACCTGGCCTTGAGCACTGCCAGGGATGAGGCAGCCACAGCTTCTCTGGGCAACCACCCTCACAGTGAAGAGTATCTTCCTATTAGATAATCTAAATCTCTCTTTCAGTTTAAAGCTATTCCCTCTTGTCCTATCACTACTTTCTCTTGTAAAAAGTCCCTCTTGAGATTTCTTGTAGCCCCTTTAGGCACTGAAAGCTGCTCTAGGCCTCCCTGGAGCCTTCTCCTCCAGGCTAAACAAGCTCAGCTCTGTCTTTCTAGGAGAGGTGCTCCAGCCCTCTGAGCATCTTTGTGGCTTCTTCTGGACTTGCTCCAACAGGTCCACGTCCCTCTTGTGTTGTAGGCCCCAGAGCTGGATGCAGTACTGCAAGTGGGGTATCACAAAGTCAGAGTA